AACAGACTGGCAGGAGACGCCGTTATTACGTGTGGCATACTGTCCGCTTGATCGCCCATTATAGTTCTTTTTCTAGCAGGTGAGACAGCTGAGCCCACCGATTCACTCCGCAAAACACAGCATGTTCGAGTCAGGCAGTGGGCTCTCCTATCCGTTTGAGTATCACGCTCACAAAGATGCAAGAGTTGGCCAAAATAATGTTCTAAGTTACTCGGCTCACTCCACATGTCCGAGTGCAGTGCATAGGAAAATAAACCATGCCCAAGGCGGGCTAAACAGTTCATCGTCTCAGTCTCTACTATTTCTTTCCGAGTGCAACGATGAGGAAGCTGCCATCCTTAACCAGTGTGCCTTGCTCGTGATTTACCAGTGTTTGTGCTGCCACGCACACAATGTTTCAAAAGTGGTTTCTATGTTGCCCTTTATTTATGTATGTATTTGCGATACTTGTGCGTCTTTGCGCAATGCTGTTGGCCTTGCTGTTTGATATATGTTGTGCCGCAGGCCCGCAGCACGTGGAGGTTTTGTGTGCCCTCCCATGAAAATCACATGCCCTCCCTTTAGATTTGTTCTGGCGCCGGGTCTGTATGAGCGGTTGTTAATATGAAAATAACTTATCATTAGAACCTCTGGTTGTTAATAAGGGCATTACACATGGGGGAATTTTTTATTTCCATCGACTATTCACTTATTTCTAAAGTATTTCAATGACAACCAATTTCTGCAGACAAATCCACTTAGTTACAGACAAAGTCCCCTTTGCATGACTTTACGTCTGTCTTCCTCTCAGGTGAAAGCAGAGCCTCATGGCGGAGATCTCCAGACTCTCCAGGAGCTCCAGCAGGAGAACCTGTTGCAGACCCTTCCCTCGGGTCCGTCCCTCCCCAGGTCCAGACACCGCTGGTCCCCGGGTGTCCTCCCCCTGCCTGAGCCCAAGGAGGACTCCGAGACCTTCGTCCTGGACCTGAGGAACTTCCCAGAGCTGGCCAACTCTGACATGAGCTCCCAGAACCCCAACATCCAGGTAGGGGTGCATGTGGAAAGAACCATAATGGTGTGGACAAATTGTTCCATTGGAAATTGGAAGTAGGGGGGGGTGGGATAACGGTTTCATGTTTCAGGGTCCACATGTGTCTTTTATTTTCAAGTGCAGTGTAATGTAATGCTGGCTGTGGTATCTCGGACCAAAAATAATGCGTCACCTCTATTTCAGAGGTGAAAAAACTCAAGTAATAAAACAACAGGAAAGAACGTCTTATTGCCATATACAGCTCACTCCCAATTCAGGCATGGCCCTAATAATGTGTCACATTGCAGAAAATACTTACAAATAAATAGTGTTGGGGTAGTAACTCAAAAAGTATTGCATTACACAAAAATTGTTACATTTGAATACCTTACTTACTTAGTTACACTACTAGTTACATGAATGGACTATCCTGTAACATCACCTGAGATGCACCATTAATCAAATGACACATAACTTAATAAAGTTAAACCTAATGTATGCCCAGATCAGCATACATCCTTAATCTAATCAGGACAGTACTGTACACATACCTCTGTTTCTGCTCTTTGAACATCAGCCATGTTTTCTTTAGCTCAGGTTCCATCATAACACTGGTCCAGGTAACTAATAGCTATCCATGAAGTCCTGAGTTTAGCTGATCGAAAAGGGATGTTGTATTCGTTTTTCTGTCCCCCCGTTTTGCAGATAGTCGAAGACCTTATAGAAACGCAAGTAATGAGATCATTTTGTGCTGAATAACTGTAATGTAATTACTGCTGTTATCAACAATAACGCGTTACATTATTGCGTTACAGACAAAAGTAATCTGATTACATTAATGTGTTATTTTATAGCTTTAACTGTAATCCATTGACTCAAGTACTGTTCTTAAGTACCATTTTTTACTTGTACTTTACTTGAGTATTTTCTGCTACTTTGTACTTCTACTCCACTACAATTCAGAGGTAAATTATGTACTTATACTCTACTAAATTTATTTAATACCTTTAGTTACTTCACAGATGTGGATGAATGATGTGAAATATAATCAAGTGTTAAATCAGACTTTAGTTCCACCTGGAGTAAATTCACAAGCTACCCTGCAGTATACAAAGTCCTTCAAACTAGCTGCACCTTTACCAGCTTTGAGAACACTTTAATGATCAATCATTATAAAACATATCATATATATTATTCTGAAATGCACCAATCTGCACAATGACTACTTTTACTTTTGGTGTTTTAATTATATTTTTACGTTAGATCTTTTGTACTTTTACTTGAGTAACATTTTGATTGCAGCCCTTTTATTGTAACAGAGTATTCCTACACCCTGGTACTTCTACTATTACTCAAATACAGGTTCTAAGTACGTCTTCCACCTCTGGTAATCAGATATGATTTACATTTTAGGTCATATCTCCAACCCCAGAGTGGAAATACATTCACGTCATTTTCCTCATGTCAAGAAGAGTTCATATTGGTAAGGTGCAGGTGTTTCAGATTAAATCATTGATCACAGGGAATGAGGATTGAGCAGAGTCCTCCACCATCACTTTCCCCTCAGTTTTTGTTCTCAGCACCATGTATCTCCCTCTCGCTCTGTGAAAACCATCTCTGTGTACATCTGGTTTGAGTCAGGACAGAGTCTTGAGTTACCACATGCAGGACCTTTAACAGTGGGGTGCTCCAACTTGTCCATGAACACCAGACATCTACACTGGTGTTTGGAGGAATAAAAGAACAAAGGGGGAAAAGTGGAAATATAAAACATATGACAGCCGAATATAATAGTTCAAAAGGTCTTAAGTGTGACTCTGAAACCAAATCCTGGTGGAGTTGGCTTGACGAACAATGGGTTTAGGACTTGTGGAGTTGATTTAGAGAAACAATTATGTGACTCTGGAATTCAGAGCCTGGTCAACATCCGGAATTCTTGGAAAAATTACATGCCCTGCTATTTAACGTCCCAGAAAATGGCCCTCCGTCCTCTGACTTCCTACTTCTGGTAAACTCCTTTGCTATCTGAATCTCTCAATCTCCACCTTCCCATAAAGCTTGCAACCACCTCAACCTCAAATGTACCAGAAACTGCTTTACTTCAAAGCTCTCTGCAAACCTGCTTCACCTCTCTGATCACTTTCTCATATCCTTCATTCTGCCCCTTTCCCATTATGACAAAACGATATCCTCTAATAGTGTTATGAGTAACCTCCTCTCTTGCTTCATTTGTGCTCTCAGTGCTCCCTTAGCTGTTGGTTTCTCACTAATTTCTCCAAACTCTGTGACAAATACTTTATCCTCATCTCTAGACTCTTTCTGTCCTCTCACCTCAAGGCCGGTTTGTCAGCCCCCTTTAGCTCCCTGGTTGACCGACTCCATAAGTGCTGACAGAACCATCCTATGGGGAGCTGAGAGGAAATGATGTCCAAACACCTTGACAACCTCATTACCAATATCTTCTCTTCTTCTATTTCTACAGCAACAATTACTTTCAATCTAAAATTCCACCCTATTCTGCAACCCCCAAAAACTATTTTGTATCTTCTCCACCCTTCTCGATCCCTTCAGTTCCTTCTTGCGTTAGTAAAAAGCTATTCTAAGCCTTGTTACCACTTCCAACCCTGATAATGCTCTCTGGACCCAATCCCCTCTCAACATCTCCAGTCTATTGCTCCTAATCATTTTCCTTTTTTCACGCATCTCATCAACATTTCCTAAACAAATGGTTTTTTTCCAAAGAGGCAAGATTTAACCCTCTCCTAAAGAAATCCACACTTGAATCTTGGGATGTAACAGACTACAGACCTGTCTCTCTTCTCCCCTGTCAATCCAACACACTTGAGAGAGCTGTCTTTAATCAACTCTCTTCATACCTTCATCAAAAAAGCCTTCATTATTCCTACCAGTCTGTTTCATGGCATGCCACTTAACTGATATTAACCTCCTTGCTGTCACTGAGGAACTGCAGACCGTAAGAGCAGTCTCCCTCTCCTCTGTAATCATCCTTTGAACCTTTCTGCTGCATTTGACACAACTAAACAACAACATCTCCTTTACAAATTTCAAGAAGTAGGAATCTCAGGCTCTGCCCTTTCCCTGCTCAAATCTTACCTCAAACACCACACCTACAGGGTAATAGAGAGGAGTCTGTGTCAGACCCTTGTCAACTCACCACTGGTATCCCTCTGGGCTCCATCCTCGGCCCCAATTCTTTTTTTCTCTACACCAATTGACTTGGCTCTCTTATTTGCTTTCATAGCTTGTCCTACCACGGCTAAAGAATGTCAACATTTATGACACTGATTCTGTCACATTCCTAGGTTTATGTCACGGTTTTAGTGTTGTCTGTCTGGTTATGGGTTTTGTAAGTCTGTTCATTCGGTGTTTTGTCTTCCTCCTTGTGTTTTGTCTGGTCCTCCTCCCTGTCGTTAGTTTCCCTGGTGTGTCTGATTGTCTCATTGTGTTCACCTGTTGCCCTTGTGTTTCTCCCTCCCCTGCCCAGCTGTGTCTTGTCCTGTGATTACCCTTCTGTGTATTTCGTCTAGTCTTCCCCTGTGTTCCATGTCGGTTCATTGTTTCCCCTCCATGTTATTCCACGGTCTGTGTTCCTTGTGCTGCTCATTTGTTTTTTGGAGATTTTGGATACTGCCTTTTTTGCCACAGCTTTTATTATTTTAATAAAGCTCGCTTTTCGTTAATACTGCTTTTGGGTCCTACCTTTTCCACGCATCCTGACAGAATGAACCGACCAACAATGGACCCAGCAGATTTTTATTTTTATTTGGACTTGTTCTCCCTAGAGTACACTCTTTAGTGTCATTATGCTGAATGGAGCAGAACCTCGGCTAAAAGGGACAAAGAGGCTGTCCTCAAAAAGGCACAAATGGAGGTGGACAATGTGCCATGGTTGAGAAGCTCATTGCCTGAGTTTCTCAGAGTTTTTTCTCGTAGCCCTGAGTGGCAGTCTCCATTCTCTGACCCTTTCTTGGGATCCCGCCTCAGCTCGTACTCAGGTACCGGTCCTAGCAGCCATGGTTCCGGCTCCAGTGCCGGCCCCAGAAGCCATGGTCCCTGCTCCAGAACCGGACCTTACAGCCATGTTTCCGTGCTCCAGTGCCGGCCCACACAGTCATGGTACCGTGCTCCAGTACCATCCCACACAGCCATGGTTCCGTATTCCGGTTCCTTGCCCAGCAGCCATGGTTCCGGCTCCAGTGCCGGCCCCAGCAGCCATGGTCCCTGCTCCAGAACCGGAACTTACAGCCATATTCCTGGCTTCAGTTCCGGTTCCCACAGCCATGTTTCCGGCTCCAGAACCGGCCCATGCAGCCATGGTCCTTTCTCCAGTCCTGGCCCCAGCAGCCATGGTTCCGGCCCCAGTTCCGGCCCCAGCAGCCATGGTTCCGGCTTCAGTACCGGCCCCAGTAGCCATGTTCCCGACTCCAGTTTCAGCTCCAGTACTGGCTCTCCGGCCGATGCCAGCTCCCGTGTCCTGTCGGCATACCGGCGACTCCAGCACCCTGTCGTCCTGTCGGAGTACGGACCCTCTCGAGTCCCATCTCAAGTCACCTCTTGAGTTCCCTCTCAAGTCTCCTTACAAGTCAACTCTCGAGTTCCCTCTCAAGTCCCCTCTCGAGTTCCCTCTCTAGTCAACTCTCAAGTCTCCTCTCGAGTTCCCTCTCGGGTCCCCTCTCGAGTCTCTTCTCAAGTCCCCTCTCAAGTCACCTCTCAAGCCTCCTCTCGAGTTCCCTCTCAAGTCCCCTTTCAAGTCACCTCTCGAGTCCCCTCTCAAGTCCCTACCCAATGTTCTGTGCCATTGGAGGTTCTGCTGGGGGTCCTGCCAGCTCCATGTCCAGTCCTGTTGGGGGTCCCGCCGACTACTCTTCTGCCGGGGGTCTTGCCAGCCCTATGTCCTGTGCCGTTAGAGGTCCCGCCGACTACTCTTCTGCCGGGGGTCCTGCCAACCCTATGTCCTGTGCCGTTGGAGGTCCCGCCGACTACTCTCCTGCCGGGGGTCCTGCCGGCCCTGTGTCCTGTCCCGTTGGGGGTCCCGCCGACTACTCTTCTACCTGTTTCGTTGGAGGCCTCGACATCACCTGTCTCGCAGGGGGTACTGCCAACTCCTTGTCCTCTTCCGTGGGGGATCTTGCCGACACCTGTCCCACCGGCTCCGTTTCCTGTCCGGTCGACACCGGCTCCTGCCCGGCCCCCTGAGAACCGCGGTCTTCACCCTCGAGCCCGGCCCCCTGAGAGCCGCCTTCTTCGTCCTCATGCTCGGCCCCCTGAGTTCGCCCGCTGTGGTCTTCGCCCCTCCATGGACTCTGCCTTGCCCCCGGGCCGTCCGCCCGCGACCCCCACCATGGACTCTGCCTTGCCCCCGGGCCGTCCGCCTAGACCCCCTCGGGTCCATGTAAAGCTAAACCTTGAGGAGACTGCTCTATCCATGATCCTACTATCAACATCAGGCCAAAACACACTAACTGTCACTGCTCCGCCCAACATTGTTGCTACAACCCTGCTGATACACTCTTTTCAACATTGGGAGAACATGTTTTAGAATCTGTTTGGATACACTGGTACTGGCCCACCATTCTGTGAATGGATCAGGCCTATCAAACATCCACGACGTGGTTAAACCATTCTGTTTGCATTGCCCTGCCTTGGCCAATCGGGTTGCTACCCCCTTACTGCAACTCTGGTTCCCTTCAGTACTCATTGCATTACCCATGCACTATAACTGCTTTGTAGAGGCGTTTGTTTGAGCAAGTCACCATCATTATATGACACTTCTGTGTGAATGCATATTTTAGGTAATGACGATTATCTCAAATGACAGAATCTTTGTTTTTGCTGCTGAGGTCATTTTTGTCAAAGTTGTTCCTCTGAAGCAAGTTGTTGAGTGTAAAGGCACGGACATACCAAGCCGATTATCGGCGTCGGCGGGCGTCAGGCCGACGATGAGCATCGACACGCCCTACTCGGATTGGTGTGTCCCTTTTCAGCCGACCCGCACTTCGGCCAAAGGCAGTCGGCGAAAGAAATCACTCTGATTGGCCGTTCAGCTAGCGAATCAGTGCATTAGAAGTGAAACGGAAGTGACGGACCCAAACAAACTATTATCCAGCTCTCGACACAGGTTCGGGAAAGCCCCATGAGCTTCTCGCTGTAGAGTGAACATGGAACGCACTCGCTATTTGTTGTTTGTTTATATCACGCAGTCTGTTCTTCTTCTCTCGGTTATCACGCAGTCTGTCTTCTGGTTGTTGCCTCTTTTGAATGACGAATACACACTACCGCCACCTGCTGGTAAGGAGAGTTATTGCCACTCACGCATGCGCAGTTCGTACGTGCTTCTTGGCCGTCGGCTGAAGTCTTTGCAGTGCGACACATGGCCAAGACGCAGAGACGCGAGGCTACGCGACAGTCGGGGTCCATCTGTGTCAGTTTTTTGTTGCCAGATTGGTGTGTCCGGGCCTTAAGAGTATTATTGGTCTTACATTGTAGTAGACCATAACAACTTTTATCAGTCTAAATTAGATTATTTGCATCTGGCTAAACTATAAAGCAAGTATTTTGTGTTTTTCTTTCAGGTGACCATCGAGGTGGTAGGGGACTCACAGACGGAGACAGAGGTGGAGATGGACCTGGTGAAAGGGGGGCAGCATAACGACTGGTCGGTGTCCTCCTCAGAATGGGCCAACAGCCACAAGAAGCTGTTCTGGCCGCTGTTCTGGGAGTACCCGGATCAGCTGGAGAACGGGCTGGAAAAATCCACTCAGGAAGAACAATCTGAGGAATACACCTACGACCCAGAGGAGCCCGTGTTGAGTGGAGTGGGCGGAGAATGGGGCGGTCACTGGAACACAGGCTGGGATGCAAAGGATAACTATGGTGAGATTGTTCATCGGATTTAAAAATACATTTAAAAAGTGCTTCACAGACAAAATAACACAATAAGGAGACAGATAAAAGATGATGCATATTAAAATGAGTTTAAAAGAGGACACTGACATATCCAGCCAGTACCAGTGTATCCAAACAGATTGTAAAACATGTTCTCCCAATATCTGCAGGGTTGTAGCAGCAATGTTGGGCGGAGCAGTGACAGTTAGTGTGTTTTGGCCTGATGTTGATAGTAGGATCATGGATAGCAGACTCCTCAAGGTTTAGCTTTACATGGTGTGCAGATATCCATTGAGAGATTTTAGCAAAACAAGCAGTGATTTGTGTGGCCACCTGGTTTTCAGACAGGAGAAAAGACTGAATCAGTGTCATATCTGCCTATTTTGTACATGTTTAAGGTGATTTATCGATTTATGAGCCATTAATGAGGCAAAAGCATGAAGAAAGTCTAAATTCTCCCAGATTGCTGGCATCATGGGTGCACTGCTGATCCCCTGGAGATAATAACTATTTAAAGTAAGCCAAGCTCCCTTCAAAATATGGCTTTGTGCCCTTTATTAATACTTATCCAAACAGGACTTCTAGTAAATCCGGTTTTAAAAACAACACTGGACTTGGAACCCTTCAATGTTGCTTTGAATATTTGGTATTACAGTTATATTGTTATTATTATTTTAACGTCAAATATTTATTGTGCGTCACTCAAAAAGGCTGTTCTTAATGTCTGATTTTGGGGGAGTTTGACAACCTCTGAGGCATTTCACTGCAGACTTTGAACGTATGTGTCGCTAAGCCATCCGCCTTGTATGTAGCACTGCAGTGTGCTGACACAAGAACACAAACATTTCATGTGCTCACCCTCCAGATTACTTTTCACTCTCATACTCAAAGCAAGCTGGCAGTAATTCCTGCTTGATCATTAGTGTGTTCGGCCCAATTCCAAACCGACCGCAAAACATGTAAGTATCATAAACTTGTGTTTGCGACAGAGCTTATTTCCTGCAATATTCCAATGGATTCCCATTGCTTTTCGTTGAGGGAGTCCTTGTGATGCTAAATTCAGGGTCAGCTTACAAAAATAAGTCATCACTCTACTACTCTGTTAGCATATGATCTAACACTGTTATTTTAAGCTCCTTTTTGCAGAGAGAACAAAAGGAAAGGAAAAACAAGTCATTCTGGCTCAGTTGTTGATAAAATGTTTTGCTAGCATAGAGCCGTCATCACTCTCACTGCAAGAAGAGGCTTTTGAAGTCCTCCTCCTGCGAGCACTGTTTAAACACAGAGCAGCGTGTCTCAGAGGTCCCACGCTGTCGCTACTTGGCCCTTTTTCAGCTCTCCTTAATTACATAACACACATACACCAGCTGGGAGAGGAATTCACAACCAAACTTCAAAGCCCGCTCTTCATATTACTCTATAGTTTTGTTTTTCCTCTCTGTCCTTCATTCTTCTACCTGTGTTTTCTCAGAGTACGAGGAGTGGAGTGACTGGGCTCCCTGCAGCGTCACATGCGGAAACGGCACCCAGAAACGCACCCGCTCCTGTGGCTACGCATGTACGGCCACGGAGTCACGCACGTGTGACCTGGAGGACTGTGCCAGTAAGTAACATACAAATGTTTTAAGTCAACTATCACCCAAAACAGCTGCTGTTATAGTGGATATGACAAGAAGTGGCATGAATTCCAATTTTAGATGAGCTACCAAGCCACTGCAACCCATCCAATTAAGCTAACTAGTGATGGCAAGTTTTGTGTTTTTGTGAGGAAGAACAAGAATGCCAATTCAGTTCAGGTGATCAAAGACAGTTTGTCCAGGGAAGACATTTTATTCTCAGAAACACAGCAGAGAGACCAATACAACACTCAAGACTTGAGAGTACACAACAGATACCAGTAACATAATAATACAAAACCACTTTCTCACTAGTCTTTACTGTACCACCCTAACCAGATTGAACAGGCTTTAAGTGTGTGATGTAAATGTTGCTATCTTCCCTAAACCCTAACCCGGGTGCTGACATACTTGTAAGAACAGATTCTTGAATCTTAACCACCAAAAATCATGATCACGTTCGCAGCAACTATGAAAAATCACACAGTAATCAAGAGTTACTGTTACTTGAAGAAACCCTTGAAACTGGTCTATGTTGAGCAAAGCCAATGGTCAAAATCTCAGTTTAATCAAAATTTAGCAGCAGAAAACGACTTTTTAAATATTCAATCAAAAATCAGCATACAATTATTTGCGCCAAGGTGTTAAATACAAAAAAGGGTCAACAGCATTTTACATATCAGATTTTGTATTGTTTGATGCAATAATATTATAGGAAGCAACCGTTTTTTAAAAAGTTAAGTAAGACATAAGGAGCATACAATCTAAGAAAATGAACTATTTAAAAATCAGCTTTGCAAAACTTATTGAAGAATATTCAACACATTCGTTGGATTTAGAGAAACATTGAACGAAACGTAACACACCCATGGTTTGGGAACAGACATTCTTTACTTTATTGCATTGTTGTCATTTTTTACCCACAGTGTGGGCCAAGTGTGGTTCCCCCTTAGATGAAATAAAAAACACTGTGCATTAAAGCCACACAACATATACATCAGTTACCTCGGTACACTAGATTTTGTAGATGTTTTCCAGCTTTGACAATGTATGAAAACATCTATATGACGGAAATAAGGTTAGATCTGTCCGTATTCTCAACAATGAGGGATCAATAATCTTTTCAAAGCAGCAGCCAGGAAAACTTCCTTTAATGGAAAAGACAAAACCAAACCTAAAAAAACAGATTCACCCACTATTATTAGTATTCCTATTATGTTCATTAAAGTGTAAAATGACAGTATGTTTGTCAAGACACAATTAAAGACAATTAGTTTTCTGTTTGTCTTATAGACACTGCAATTTCAGTGAGTGATCCCACACCCATCCAGAAGGACAACAGCACAGACTACCTGGACACAAGTACGTATTGAGTTTCTGGATGAATGTTATATTGTATGTTGACCTGCATATGAAACATTATGTTCCATTCAGTGGTGTTCCTCAGATTTTGATATTTAGAAACCTCCCATGTTGAGAGCTGCACTGCTGAGTATGTCAGAGAAACGATGAAACCGCGACCCTGCCTCCCAGAAACGTTTGAATTGCTTTTAGTTTCCATTTTATTGCTCTCCTGCTGCAGGCAGCGGCCAGAGAACACAATAGTTCTCTTCACTCCGCAAAACATAACAAGAGAGAGCAGGAAAGGAGAACACAATCCAGTGTCTGACATTTTCCTTCTCAACCCACATCCACCAAGCAAATATAGAGAGAAGCTTTTAATATAACAATTAGCAAAAACGTTTTTACACTTGTTTTTCTTCAAAGCCCCTTTTATTCAACACCTAAAGAGGCCACATTGTGCTATTTAGTGTTATCCCTATGTAGTGTGATAGATAGGTTGTTGTGCATGTAAATGTTCTCCAAAGTTTCCTTCAAAGGGATTTCCTTGATGTTCTCTTAACTATGCATGAACTTTGGTGTTTCAAGCAAGGATCTTTTAAACGAAAAATGGAAGTTAGCGCATTCCTGTTGTTAAGCTAATTCAGCTTAATAGTAACATAAACCAGAAAGCCCCAAATTTGTTTGTACAGTTCCTGAAATAATTTCTTGGAAAGTTACTGCAGGGAATTTGTTTATTACTTTCCTTGTTTTTGCCATTTCCTTGTTGGGTTCCAGTTGCAATTACCTGAATTGGATTTCACTTTGCAGCATTTTAAAATTAAATAATATGTGATGCACTTTGACAAAGGGTCATTAATCCAGCCAATGCAATCGTTCTATATCTGACTGGTTATTGTATTCCAATAATTATAAGAATGTAAAGACTAATTCAATCAAACTTCTTCCAATCTCCATACCTAGACGTGGACAGCTGTGAGAAGTGGCTCAGCTGTAAGAACGACTTCCTGGAGATGTACCTGCACCAGATGCTGACAGAGCTGCCCAGCTGCCCATGCTCCTTCCCCTCAGAAGCCGTCTACAGCGCCGTCAACATCCAGGACGGCCCACTCCGTAAGACCTATCGCTGGAGGGATACCAGCGGACCCAAAGAACGCCTGGACATCTACAAACCCTCCGCCAGATTCTGCCTCCGCTCCATGCTGTCGTACGATAGCACCACGCTGGCTGCTCAGCACTGTTGCTACGACGATCAATTGAAACTGATAACACGAGGGAAAGGAGCAGGAGCACCCAATCTGATCAGTACTGAGTTCTCACCAGAACTTCATTATAAGGTGGATGTTCTACCCTGGATCCTGTGCAAGGGAGACTGGAGTCTGTTTCACTCAGTGAGGCCGCCTAACAATGGGCTGAGCTGTTTAGAGAACCCCACTGAGCAGGTGTTCCAAACAGAGCTTAAAGAGGCCAGGGAGTACTGAGAGTATTGGAGTTAGAACAAGAATGGACGATAACATGGAGACGTGATGGAAATCCATCGTCTCCATCCTGCACAAGCACAGAGAAACTGAAATACAGCATTTCTGTGATGATACATGAACTCTGCAGCCAGCTGAAGTTCTTTGCTGCAACCCGACAAGAAGGGTCAATAACACAGACGCTATTGGATGATGGAAATACATGTCTTTTCCATTGTCTCCATCCTGCACAAGCTAAAAAAAGCTGAACTACATGCTGATTCAGCATTTCTGTCAAGATGCTAATACAGCATTTCTGTGACGATACATGAACACTGCAAGCTGAAGGACTTTGGTGCAGTCACACTAAGAAGGGTCGATACCAAAGACACATTAATGGTATTTGGCAATTAAAATCCAATTTCTCCTAACCGTTGTCTCCATCCTGAACAAGCACAGCAAGACAGAACTGCATAAATACAATGTTTCTTCGGCCATGAATGAACTCTGCCAACCTCATGGCCTCTAGCATCAACTGACATTTGGCTGGTAAACTTGGTTTACTTTGGTAAACGCAAATGTTATAAAGACATTTCTATAGGACACTTGTGGGCTCATCCCTGGTCCTGTATGTTGCTGCTCAGTGTGAGAGGAGGTACTTATTTATTGGCCCCTGAACTATTTTAATCAGAAAATCATTCCTGTTTAGCTGGTAAGCAGCCAATAAAGTCAAATGGAACCTTGGACTTTAAATGCTCTACTTCTTCATCTTTACCAAGTCTGACACAATTGTTGCCAGAGCAGGTCTGGCGTTTCTCTTGCTGTCAACATCTGCCATGTCTTAATTTGCTACATGCTCACACGACAGGAGAACATAAGAATAGGAATTGCGAGTTAGGAGCAGCCCCATCTGGATCATCTTGTATATGGTAGAATTTCCTTTAAAGGTTGTAACATTTCTACAGCATTGATGCAAAATGTGATATCCCAATGAAAAAAGGGATTCAATTCACATTCCGTTTTCAATTTTTTCAAGGTCTGCCATCCACACTAACATGCCAAAACATTTGAAATATGTTGACATCTCTTCACCCAATTGAAATGTTGGTAGGTGGGAAGCCAGTGAGGGGCCAACCCCTGTTTCTACTATAACCAGACTCAACAAAATGTGTTGTGGTTCAATCCCCTTTGACTCATAGGGCTGGTATTTATAAAAAAAATTAACCAATACAATTGCTAGTTTACTATTTAAGTTTTCCTTAAACCGTAGACCAGGCCTTTTCAACTCTTAAGCCTCTTACACCCCAAACAGACACCAAAGAACAACAAAGAACACGTCCCGACGGAACGTCGCCTTACGTCGCCTGCGTCTTGGCCTTGTTTCGCACTGGAACACACCGCAAAGACTTCAGCCGACGGCTAAGTTGCACGTACAAACTGCGCATGCCTGAGGGGCAATAACTCTCCTTACCAGCAGGCGGCGGTAGTGTGTATTCGTCATTCAAAAGAGGCAACAACTGGAATTCAACATGTCGAATCGGTGGCGGAAGGTGTCGGAACGGCCGAAAAGACACGACGGTGCAGTGCACACCAATCTGAGTAGGGAGACACGACGCTCATCGACGGCCCGACATCTATCGACGCCGATAATCGGCTCGGTGTGTAAGGGGCTTTAGCCCTCAGGCCAACTTGAGACCACAGAAAATGTCAGACCATGATTGGCCCTACCTCAAGAAAGAAAGATGTCCTCCAAATATCGGACATTTTGTCACAAAAAAACCTTTTTAATTGGCAGGGTGTCCTGAGCTGTCAGTCATCAGCCAATCCCAACATGCATAATTGACGACAGACCACCTTACATGCGCTTGTAGAAGTAACAGCACATTTAGCTGGCTAGCAGGCGTCCGGTGTTGAATTTGGATAACAGATGGCTCAATGTGGCTGTCAACCCTGAAGAGGATGCCAAATATAGTATCAGGACTGAGAGATATGTGAACATTGAAATCACTGAGGGCAAGCCAGTGTGTTTGCTCTGCAATAAGTGCATCTCTGTTGCAAAGAATTTAAACTGCTGAGTCATTTAAAAACAAAAAGCACCCAAGTGTTTAATATATTTTTCTGTAGGGATGTTAAGCAAAACAAATCCTAACTAACAGCAAACTACAAGTGACTATTACATTCAACAATACTCTACCAGTCAGTAGACAACTATAACATCTCTGACTCTGAGGCGATAATAGAATGCATGTGTGTTACTGATGAAGAGGTTTTGAAAAGTTGAAAGACCAGGTGATGTCATGTATCAACTCGATACATGTGTACATTAAAATTTCAAGAAAAATGTAAGCTGATGTTACATCACTGGCTGTGGATGCTGATTTCAGATCCGTCTTTACTTCCTAATCAGTGGCGGATTTAGGATTGAAGGAAATCCGGCGCTTAGCCCAGGATTTGTTGGGGGGGGTGGGGATGCAGGGGTAAAGTGCTATTTTTGTACAAGTGGGGGTGGACCGAA